GGGGGGGATCTTATTTCTTTTTAGCCGTGTGGGTTAATATTGAAAGACCTAGTAAGTTTCCGGAAAATTCCCGGAAATTTCCAACAGTACACGTGCGTCCGTGCTCCGTTAGTACAGCCTATGCAAGCTCTCATAGCGCCTGGTGGGTAGGCAACAGCTTGCCTGCGTTGCATGTGTGTCCGGCGGGTTGGCCTACCCTGAATCTCGCAGGCGCCGAGCTCCTGTGATTCACCGACCCAGGCGGCTCGAAATGGGGGCTAGTCGGTCTAATGTAATGAAAATCAAAACAACTATCAGACACATTTAAAAGACGAAATTTCTTTTACAGAATTCCCCCCAAAAGTACTTTGTTGGAAAATAAAATGAATACTTAGCAGTAGGGTTGGAAGCCCTGGAAAGTTTCTGGAAAATGTCAGAAAACTTTCGGGAAAAACGGAAAATTTTAGGGGATAAATGGTCAATTTCTCAAGACGTTGAAAATTTTTTCGTTATTTTCCCGAAAATTTCGGAGCTTTTCAACCCTAAAGTAGCGGTGCGTGCGTGGGGTTGGCTTACTGCCCAACCTCTCCCTCTTCTCCGACTGAACAGAGGCGCGGCGCGAGTAGTCGCGGTCCGACACGGTAACGCCTGTTTCAAATTCTAGCACAACACAACACCCAAACGACCCCGGCCCCGGCATCGGGTTTCGGCATCGGTGCGCTCAAACGTTGCCTCTCACGCTGACTAGTTGCATGCATTCCACGCATATTCAATGTACGGGGATGCTGGCATATCGGTTTGGGGGAATACGAGAGGGAGAGAGAGAGAGGGGGAGGGAGAGAGAGGGGGAGGGAGAGAGAGGGGGGGGGAGAGAGAGAGAGGGGGAGAGAGAGAGAGAGAGAGAGAGAGAGAGAGAGAGAGAGAAACGGAGGAGCGACGCCTCCGTACTCGGTGTGATGGGTCTGGCTGTGGCTCGCCCGCTTTCGCCTGTCAAGGGCCTTTCATACCCAGGCAGGCGTCTCCCCAGGCGCGCGGCTGCGGCTCAAATCGACGCTGCGCCCCCCCTTCCCCCCCCCTCTCTCTCTCTCTGTCTGTCTCTCTGTCTCTCTCTGTCTCTGTGTCTCTCTCTCTGTCCCTCTCTCTCTCCAAACTCTGCGGGCTGGCTGAGGTGTCGGGGCACGCGGCAAGTTGAAGTGCTTCCACGCCCGACCGCGAAGGCGACGAGGAATATAAGCCGCACCACTGGAGGGAAGGAGAGGCGCAAACTGCTCTGGAGGCGCACGCTGCTGGAGAGAAACGGGGAAGAAGCTATCCAGTGATGAAAAGACGACGACTCGTGTGGGTTTAACTTAATGACATGCGCGTAAGAGAGAGAGAGAGAGACAACCCCTGTGCGACAGGCGCGTAGGTTAATTTAAAAAGATGTGTATCGCTCGCAATTGGCTTGTCTTTTGGCGGAGGGTGATGACCCGCCCCCCCCCCTCCCCCCGCGCTTTCCCTCGAAATTCGTTTTCCTGTACGTTTACGAAATGTTCGCGATGGTTTGTGTTTTGCCATATTTCCGTGCCAGACGTGCATAATTACTTTACATCGCAATAGTTTCTGATGAAATGTTGCATTATTTTTCCTATTATTTTCTCCTAACTTTGGGCAATGAAAGCTGTTATGCCCTTTAGCATGGAAATCGTAAAACATGGGTATCTCGAATGTATAGTAAAACCAGCCAGTATGCACAAGAACAAATGTTGTAAATTTTCGAGGATATATTTTTCACAATGACCCACTTACGATCGCTGTCGGATCAGTTGGGCTAGCCCCGCCTGTGTCGCAGGCGTTAAGAGAGACAGCAGGGCCAGACATCTGGAATTTAAAAAATTAGAGAGAAAGAGAGAGAGAGAGAGAGAGAGAGAGAGAGAAGGGTAGGGGAGAAAGACAGAGAAATTAAAATCCGTCTTGGCTTGTCTGCCAGGCAGGAGGCCAGTGTCCTGCGTGAAGGGCCTCGGTGAAGGCCACCTCAGGGTCTGTCGCTGGTGTAATTGCTTTCTCTCGTTTTGCACCCCCTTCTTTGTCCCTCGCCCCCCTTCCCCAC